TTTGGCGACCCCCGTGAAATGGTTGTTCGACCCCAAATGGGGTCCCGACCCACAGGTTGAGAACCACTGCATTAAGTAATATTAATAAGCATTCCCCTCGTGGACTTCAACTCCCAGAATTCCTGAACCAGCATGGCTCAGCTTGGAAACCTCTTCCTTTCCCCTCAGCATGGCTGGCTCAGGAATTCTGGGAGTTGAAGTCCACAAGTCATAAAAGAGCCAAGGTTGCCTATCTCTGCTCTAATATAAGCATGGAATAAACTGGTCAGCCTTATCTTAGGTGCCTTCTCTTATCCCATACCTAAAATCACAGACAGCACCCAGGACCCCTCAGTTCAAAATAAAATCCACAAGGAAGGAGGCTACAGATCAGCCTATGACAGTGATGGCAAACCTTTTACAGACCGAGTGCCCAAACTGCAATCCAAAACCCACTTATTTATCGCTGGGTGCCAGGTGGGCATGGCCCACTGGGTGGGTGTGGCTGTGGTAGCCATGGCAGACTGGGTGGGTGTGGCCAAGGTGGGCATGGTCACCTCAATGTTGCTCGTGGGGGGGACGCCTGTGAGGGCTGGGCAGGGTTGGGGGAGATCCAGGGGGTCTCTGGCAGGTTGGGCGGTGGGCAGGAGGCTTGTCCTGCGGGGTGAAGTGAGGCAAGGCGAGGCAGGGCAGGGGTGCCATTGTTGCAGGGCAAGGCGAGGCAGGGGCCGGGGCGGCTGCTGCCTGACACCATCGGCCCCCGCACAAAGAGGCCAGCGAGCACATGGGGGCCGACAGTGTCCATCAGCAGCCACAGCCTGCCGGCCCCTCGACTGGTGCACTCTGGGGCTCCGCAGCCCGCCGCTAGCAGTTCAGAGAAGCCGCCTCTGAGTTGGATGGCTGGCCGACAGCTGAGGAGGCAATGCAGTGGGCCGTGCCCAGGACAAGGAGAGCATGCGAGGCCAGGAGGGATGGGATGGGGGGGGAGGGAAACCAGCCGTATTGGGATGCATATGACCTCGCCAAGTTAGCAGGTGGCTGGTTGAAGAGGGACGGTTGCCATCTCAAGGCATGGCGAGTGCCCACAGAAAGAGCTCTGAGTGCCACCTCTGACACGCATGCCACAGGTTCGCCACCACTGGCCTATGATCATCAGAAGGATGTTCTCCTTTTCGGGAAACACCTGGGAACTGCATGATGTTGCCCTGTTACCCTGGATTTTTCCCTCCAGCCAGCAAGATGGGAGGGGTACAAAAATTTATTTCGCAATGTCTCCCCAAAGCTGACTGATGTGAGATGTGATTCTGAACATGCCAACGCATCTGAATGGCTCAAAGCCCTTTTCTTTTTCGGCGGCACATTCCTTGATAAGCTGCAAAGCTTCCCACTTATCAGTCACTCAAAGTGACTGCGGCTGTCACTTGTGTACAAAGCGCAATCAGTTTGGAAGCACCGACACCGGCATTTTTCTTCTCAGCTTGAAGCAAACACGTTTTGACTGCTAGTCATTCAATTTTAAAGCATCGTCAATTAGGGGCGGACGGAGATATAAAGAAAACACGTCCTAAACTCCTTCACCAGCCAGCAATAAAAAAATTTATTGTTATTTTGCTTGAATCATCTCTCTCTCTCTCTCTCTCTCTCTCTCTCTCTCTCTCTCTCTCACACACACACACACACACACACACACACACACACACACTTTTTCACCTTCCCTCAGCAGAAACTGCCTTTTCTGGCTGCCAAGGAAAAGTGCTCATGACTCCATGTTCTCCACATGGTTGAGATGCGAATCATATGGCGTATTAATGCTCTCCATAGTAGGTCAGTTCAACGGACAAGAGCTTTCTTTCCCTCTCTTTGCCCCCTTGGCATCATGCTGGGCCATTCCATATGCCCAGCATATGGTGGGAAATAAATAAATAAAATAAAGCATTTTTTAAAAAAATGCCCGCGGTGTAAGAGACGCCTGGGAGTTGGCCACGTTGCCAAAAAGCGACGGGGCAGGAGAAGTAAATACCCTTTTTCCGAAGAAGGGCAACGTCTGGAAACTGAAATGTTTGCTCCAAGGCAGGCTGAATCTTCAAATGCAGGGGAAAGCGTTTGCAGGAAAACCCACCAAACCTCACTGGATACAACATGAGGTGAGGAAATCCCAGGAGGGGTTTGTAGATAGATGGATGGAACAGACAGCAATCGGAATAAAGCCCTGGGTTAGCTGGGAATTTTCTAGGTTAGACACTTGTTTGCTTTCTGGTGTGATACCAGTGTAACTTGTAGGAGAAAAAAAAAATGTAGATCATCAGCCCTAGGAGATAAAAGGGACCTCTGTTGAAAAAAAAAAAATCTTTCATTGCTTAACGTGCTCAGCTCAGGGCACTGGGAGGTTCAAATGTCAGATTAAAATAAAGTAACAAAAAGGGATGAATGGAAAGAGTGAGGGAGGCGAGGGGAGGAAGAAAGGAAGGAAGGAGGGAGGGAGGGACGGAAGAAGGAAGTGAGGAAGAAAAAAGGAAGAGAGAAAGAAAAAGAGAGAGAGAGAAAAAGAGAGAGAGAAGGGAGGGAGGGAGGATGGGAGATAAGGAAGGAAGGAAGGAAGGAAGGAAGGAAGGAAGGAAGGAAGAAAGAAAGAAAGAAAGAAAGAAAGAAAGAAAGAAAGAAAGAAAGAAAGAAAGGAATCTGTGCATCTGCCAAAATTTCATTTGATATTTAAAAAGCGGGTGATTAACTGGGAGGTTTAAATGTCAGATTAAAATAAAGTAACAAAAAGGGATGAATGGAAAGAGGGAGGGAGGGAGGGGAGGAAAAAAGGAAGGAGGGAGGGAGGGAGGGAAGAAGGAAGTGAGGAAGAAAAAAAGAAAGAGAGAAAGAAAAAGAAAGAAAGAAAGAAAGAAAGAAAGAAAGAAAGAAAGAAAGAAAGAAAGAAAGAAAGAAAGGAATCTGTGCATCTGCCAAAATTTCATTTGATGTTTAAAAAGTGGGTGATTAAGTGGGTGTGATGCTTTTTTTTTCACTCAGATTTTATTTGTATTTTTCTTTCACTGGAAGCCAAGAGAAGCCACAACAGGATATGTCGTGGCTTGGCATTTGGGAGTTTGTCAAGCTGTAACTCCTCTCTAAGAGCCGGTGGTAGCCCTGGGTAAGAAGGCCTTTGCACAACTTTGGGTTGTACATTAGTGCCCATTCTGGGACTGGGGAGCCTTTGCAACGTCCAGACTGGACTGCTGCAATGTGCTTTTACACGGGCTGTCCCTGAGAAAGCATTCAGAAGCTTCAGATAGCTAATGAGGAATGTGGTGGTGTAGATACTTACAGGCACTGATTACTTCAAACAAGTATGAGACACCATCGCTCTGCAAGTGGCATTGACTACCGGTGTGTTTGTGCGTGCAATTCAAGGTGGTAGTTGTCACCTTTAAAGACCTCGTTGGCTTGGGATGAGGTTACTTACAGTACTGTCTCTCCCCATTTGTCTTGTAGGTTCCAGAAGGAAAGTCTTTTTTGCTGGGGCGCCCACTTTTCCCACATCCTCTTCCTTAAGATCACACTTTGTCCCTGAGGGCCTTCCACAAGACCTTGAACCTGGCGTGGGACAGAGGCTGTCTCCTGGTTGAAGGGATAATTGGTTCATGGATGATGGCCGGCTTTATGTGTTTTATTTTTATGTTTTATACAGTGCGTTTTATGAATTTTATTTATTGAATTGTAAGCCACATATGACAGGGGGGCAGCTCTACAAATCAATCAGTCAATCAGTCAACCAATCAATCCTCTGACAATACAACTCTCAAAAAACTAGGATACTTTATGAAATGTAAATTAAAATCAATGAACACTTCACACAGTATGCACAAGAATTACTGCGATCTTAGTAAGCTTTAATAGAAAAATTGGTTCCAGGAAGTAGAATTTTAAACAAAGGAGGAGAGGAGGAGAAGGAGAAACAGAAGGATCTGTTGTCTGCATCTTAAATATTCAAATCATGATGTCTTATCACTGATCGTATCATTTTAGAGTCATTTTCTCACCATTTGGTCAACTCTGTAACCAGAATGAGCAGAATTTGGAAAAGCAGCTGGAAAAGTGCTCCAAACAGCGATGAACTAAGCCCAAATCTTCCCCTGCGCTGAACATGATGGGTAAGCTACTACTTCCAGTGGTAAAAATGTTTCCAGAAAATATCCTTTGCTGAACCTGTTTACAGCAATTTTCCCAATGCACAGAAAACATAATTTCCCCCCCTCTCTTCTCTTTTTATTACATGAGAAATGTCAACCAATCAAGGGACATAGTAAGGACATTTGCATAACTCTCCTCCTTAGAAGAGTATGCAAGGAGTATGCAAGAAGAGTATGAAAGGAATATGCAAGAAGTTTTCCAAACTTCATCCTACCTACTGTCATAGAATAGGATCTTGGATTTACAGCCACAGCAGAAATAATTCCCCATTCCCTGTATGGTTTGGCCATGTGACAGATGGCACTGCCCACATTCTGTGATTTTTCCCCCACAAAAAAGTTTTCGGCATGAATCTGCTTCCCATTGTGAGAAGGAAGACTACATGGCCTATGTACGGAACCCATGTGCCAGCTACCTAGCAAATGAATGAGGTTTTCGCGGCTGTGATAAATGTGTCTCCAAAAGCCTCTGCAGATGTTTTTCCAAGAAAGGCAGCTGTTCATTTAACACCACACGTCACAGAAAATCAACTGTAGTTACTGACATTGTGAAGATGCATTTAAATTAGCTGGGCTTGTTACGTCTCCTTCAACCCATATGTCTCCTCAACCCCTTCCATCCAGCTTTCAATGGACCTCACTCATATAGAATTCAACCAGCATGAACAGATAGACACTCTGGATCTCAAGCCACAAACCTGAACTTGAATGTGACATCCATCTACATATTATGGGAACCGATCTTTTAATGACTGGCCCTGCATCTCTGAATTGAAGACAGTGAAAAAGAATGGAAAACGGACTTGAATAATTAAAATAACAGACAGATTCATAATGTCTGACCTGGATCTGTTGCTGAAGCAGGTTGATTTTGTGTTGTTGTTGTAGAAGTTGCTGCTGCTGTCTTGCGATCTGTAGGGGTCAACACATGTACATGTAATTTAATAGTGTGTGCACGTATGTATGTTTGCAGACAGATGTTTCTCAATGTGTTCAGACCTTAACAGTCTGGTTCAAATTAAAGCAATTGATACATCCATTCTATTACCCAGTAAACTATTGTTTATGTGTAGCAATCACAGTTGAAAACTTGTTCTTACACTAAAAAAAAATTGATTTGGGGGTGATGAAGGCTGGAAGACATTTTCTCATCCAATTCTAAGAATATTAGAAGGCTCATGATGGATGATACAGTTCTAAATACTCATGAAATGCAGTAGTATTTTCTGACTTGTATTCCTTGACTACTGATAGCATTAGAAGCCGACATTCACCATCATAATGATAAGTAGTCACCAATCACTTCAAGCCCCATAAATTCGTTTAACTCCTTTTAATTTGGTCCAAGTTGCTGATTATATTTCCATTTTTTTTTTATCATTTGAAATTTTCCTAGCTGGCTTCTGACAAGTAAAGTCAACAGGGGAAGTCAGATTCGCTTAATGACCGCATGATTCATTCACCAACTGCAGTGATTTGCTTAACAACCATGGCAGAGATGGTTATAAAACGGGCACAGCTCACTTAAGAACTGTCTTGCTTAGCAATGGAAATTTTGGGCTGTACTGAGGTCGTAAGATGAGGATCACCTCTATGGCAAATAAGGGACATAGGAACCCCTAAGATTTTTGTACAGACAGAAATTGAGTCATGTGGTGCCTCTTAATGCTGATGAAGATATATACTGTACAAATGGAGGAACTGACACGGAGCCATTAATGACCAGTTCCAAGCTATCTCCCATACCAGACGTGTCAAACTCACGACGTCATGTGACGTCATGCAACGTATCGGAGCTTTTTTCCCATTGCCGGCAATGGGGTGGGCGTGGTTTACTCGTGACGTGTCCGCCCCGTGGACCGGCAGTTTGAAACCCCTGTCCTATACTGATCATAACATTGTCCAAGCTGGTGCCCTCCAAATTCATTGGATTGCCCACACTTGTTATCACTATCACCTGAGAAATTTAAGGTGGGGGGGGGGGTTTGGTCTCTGGTGTCCATGGCCTTTGGGCACATCAAGATAATGGCAAAGTCCTGTGTTCAGTTTTACAGCACACCGCTTCCCCCTTTCTTTATGATTGCATTAAAAGACAGTAAGATCAAATGGAGAGGGTATGGTTAGATTGGGAAGGAGCGGAGGTGGCGCAGCAGTTAGAGTGCAGTACTGCAGGCCACTTTAGCTGACTGTGTTCAGCAGGTCAGCGGTTCAAATCTCACCGGCTCAAGGTTGACTCAGCCTTCCATCCTTCCGGGGTAGGTAAAATGAGGACCCAGATTGTTGGGGGCAATGTAAATATATATATATATATATATATATATATATATTATATATATATATATATATATATATATATATATATATATATACATACATACATACATACATATACATTGCTTACTGGTGTACACCGCTTAGAGAGTGCTTGCACTTAAAGCGGTATATAAGTCTCATAAATAAATAAATAAATAAATAAATAAATAAATAAATAAATAAATAAATAAATAAATAAATAAAGCGTTGGTACCCTAGAAGAGTGGAAGAAATGAGGGCCAAATCAGGAACAAACAGATGACATTCATCTTGACCAGGAGTCCTCAAACTTGGCCCTTTTATGACTTGTGGACTTCAACCCCCAGAATTCCTCAGCCAGTGAAAGTTTGAAGACCCCTGATCTTGCCACATAGCAAGTAGGTGGCAGTTCAGGTTTTTGATAGAAATGGCTAAAGAGACAAAGTCGTCTTAGTCATCTTCCCTGGAGGGAAAGATGACATTTAAAGTTGAAATGATCCTTCAAAATATTGGCACCCAGGTGCCGGTAGTCCTCAACTTACGACAATTTGTTTAGTGACCATTTGAAGCTACAACAGCACTGAAAAAAGTAAGGTGTGACTATTTTTCGCACTTACCACCTTGGCAGCATCCTCATGATAACGTCATCAGAATTCAGATACTTGGCCACTGACTCATATTTATGACGGTTGCATGCCAAGATCTCCTTTTGCAAATTTCTGCCAACGGGGAAGCCAGGTTCACTTAGCCATTGTGTTGCTAACTTAACAACTGTATTGATCCCCTTAACAACTATGGTATGGCAAGAAAGGTCGTAAAATGAGGCAAAACTCATTTAACAAGTGTCTCACCTAGCAACAGAAATGTGGGGCTCAATTGAAATCGTAAGTCGAGGACTGCCTGGATTATACAATTTAATAATAATAATAATAATAATAATAATAATAATAATAATAATAATAATAATAAAAGTTGGGAGGGACCTTGGAGGTCATCGAGTCCAACCCCCTGCTCGGGCAGGGACCCTACACCATTTCGGACAAATGGCTGTCCAGTCTCTTCTTAAAAACTTCCAATGTTGGAGCATTCACTGCTTCTGGAGGCAGGTTGTTCAACTGGTTAATTGTTCTCACTGTCAGGAAGTTTCTCCTTAGTTCTAGGTTGCTTCTCTCCTTGATTAGTTTCCACCCGTTGCTTCTTGTCCTGCCTTCAGGCGCCTTGGAGAATAGCTTAACTCCCTCTTCTTTGGGGCAGCCCATGAGATATTGGAACACTGCTATCATGTCCCCCCCTCGTCCTTCTCTTCGTTAAACTAGACATACCCAATTCCAGCAACCATTCCTTGTAAGTTTTAGCCTCCAGTCCCCTAATCATCTTTGTTGCTCTTCTCTGTACTCTTTCTAGAGTCTCAACATCTTTTTTACATCATGGTGACCAAAACTGGATGCAGTATTCCAGGTGTGGCCTTGCCAAGGCATTGTAAAGTGGTATTAATACTTCACGTGATCTTGATTCTATCCCTTGCTTAATGCAGCCTAGCACTGTGTTGGCTTTTTGGGCAGCTGCAGCACACTGCTGGCTCATATTTAAGTGATTGTTCACTAGGATTCCGAGATCACTCTCACAGTTGCTACTATCAAGCAAGGTACCCCCTATACTATACCTGTACATTTGGTTTTATTTTGCCTAAATGTAGAAACTTGCTTTTTTCACCACTGAATTTCATTTTGTTAGATAGCGCCCAGTGTTCAAGTCTATCCAGGTCCTCCTGTATTTTAAGCCTGTCTGCTGGAGTGTTGGCTTTTCCTGCCAGCTTGGTGTCATCCGCAAATTTGATGAGTTCCCCATCTACCCCTTGTCCAAATCATCGATGAAGATGTTGAAGAGCACTGGGCCTAGAACAGAGCCCTGGGGCACCCCACTACACACTTCCCTCCATGTGCCTTGGCCCTAATCTTGTCTTTCAATCCTACCCTTTTGATAAGGCTACATGGGCCCCCCCCCTTGAGGTTTGGGGCAGGGGAGGTAAGAGCAGGGCTTGGGGGTGGCTTCAAGAACCCCACTTCTAACGCACACTGCATAATTTGGACAATATCATTATATTAAAAACTCTGGAATCTGTTCCTCTCTTCCACTGCATGCTGAAAATAACACCTCCTGTTGTATATTCCATTTAACTTAAAAAAAAAAAAAAATCTTCCAGCCCTCAAGTTCCATTCTGGGAACAGATCTGTGAATATTTCAGCCCTCTTAGAAATAAAGACGCGTTAATAGAGTGCTAATCTCCTGCTCCCCAATGCCCGAGCAGGACTAGATTAAAAGTCCCTTTTAATAACCGCTCACCTGTTCTTGCTGCTGCTTGGCTAGCTCCATTTGCTGGCGCTGCTTCTCAATCTGCGAGGCCGCCAATTTCTTCTGCTCGTCGTGAGCCGCCAGCAGCTGCTCCCGCAAACTGGTCAGCTGATTGATCATGCCCATAAGCTGCCTCTCTTTCTCAGCTAGGCTCTCTGGAGTCCCTGAGCATCATATGGTGACACACACACACACACACACATACAAAAAAAAAAAAAAAGGCAAAAGGAGAAAGAGGAGAGGGAGAGAATCAGAAACGAGATCTGGGTACGGTTCCAAGCCGACGTGCCTTGTAAAGCTGAGCAGAAAAAGCCTTTTGCAGCACACAACAGCACCCCTCTCAAATGATTTAATTATTCCCCCCCTTCCTTTTTTTTTTAATTTGTCCTACCTCTGCTGCCTAGCCAAGGTTCTTGATCTATGAATACATCTGCATAGTAATGAGTTTCCTGCAGGATCCTCAGTACTTTTCTGCGGAGGGCAGGACTTCAATAGATGGTGGGTGCTAACTTTACTTTCAGTTTGATAACTTTATTGTTGATTAGCCAGTAGACCATCTCAAAATACAGAATATAAAACACGGAGCTTTAATAAAACCATATGCAAAAATGCAATAAAAGAAACAGATTAAATAAAAAGAATGGAAAGGAATAATTCTGGGTCACCCCCTACGTTTGACTTCAGTCAGACCCACCTATGCAGATCTCAACCGAACTGTTTTGTTCAAATAAAGGACTGCGTTATGTGTGGTTTTTGAATTCTGACCACACATGAAGTACATTTTTAATGTAAGGGTCCCAATAGGTCTAATTGTCGAATGTCATTGGATATAACACGACAACAAATAAAATAGTTAGCTAGCTAGATAAATAGATGGATAAGATAACCTTTATTGTCATTTTTTGTCATTTTTTTTACTATGGGCACATTGGCAAACATTAAAAATGAAATTTAGTTGCTTGCTCTCAAAGTGTACACATACATAACACAGCTAGATAGCTAGATAGCTAGATATCTAGATAGCTAGATATCTAGCTAGCTAGCTAGCTGGATGGATGGATGGATGGATGGATGGATTGGATGGATGGATGGATGGATGGATGGCTGACTGGATAGATAGATAGATAGATAGATAGATAGATAGATAGATAGATAGATAGATAGATAGATAGATAGATAGATAGATAGATAGATGGGTGGGTGGGTGGGTGGGTGGGTGGGTGGGTGGGTGGATGGATAGATAAATAGATAGATAGATATGGATGGAGAGAGAGAGAGAGAGAGAGAGAGAGAGATAAAGTGCAGTCTAGTTTGTACTAATATGAGATTTCAAATCCTCTTGGCATGGATTTGATGGGTGTTGAAAATGGGATATTCCCCCGCCCCCCAGTCTATCTGTCTTTCCAGATCTATGGATCTATGAATTGTCTATCTTCCTATTACCTTTCTTTTTCTCTGAAATGGAATTCAACAAGATACAGTTAGCTGCCCAGTCCCAACACCACAACGCCAAAGGCTACAAGGAGACTTGATTCTCAGACTGATGACCGTCAAATCTTTGCTTGAAAGTCTTGGGTGAATGATGCTTTTAGACTGTGGTGTTGGAGAAGACTCTTGAGAGTCCCTTGGACTGCAAGGAGATCCAATCAGTCGATCCTAAAGGAAAACAACCTTAACTGTTCTTTGGAAGGGCAGAGACGGAAGCTGAAGCTTAAATACTTTGGCCACCTAATGAGAAGAGAGGACTTCCCTGATGCAGGAGAAGATGGAAGGCAAAGGAGAAGGAGAACAACAGAGGATGAGCTGATAGACAGTGTCATCAATGCAATGAACACGAATTTGGGGAAACTCCAGGTTCAAAGCAGCATTTTCAAGGTTATCTAACCAACAGCTGATCCTTTCTCATTCTCACTTACCTAGATAAACTCTGATAATAATTGCCCCCATGGATGGTTCTTTTTCTCCCATACGTATTGTTATTTATGGCTCAAAAGAGGGACAGTTGTCAGTTGAAAGTCAGAGATTCATAGGATTAGAGGATTGAAATAGGTCACTGAAACCGTCAAGTCTGGCCCTCTGCTCAATACAGGAGTTCAAATCAAAGCATCTCAGACTGAGCACTGTCAAGCTTTTGCTTGAAAGTGTTTGGTGAATGGGGATCCACCACCTCTCTGGATAATTGGAACCACTCCTGTGCTATTCTTATTGTTTTTCAGTTTTTCCTAGCCTTTAACCAAAATATACCTTCTTAGAATTTGTTCCATGCCCTCTATTCTGGGATAAGAGCAAACGGGTCATGCTCTTCTTCTTTGTGTCACCTTTTCAAATACTTGAAAAGTGCTATTCCCTTTGAGTTTTGTTTTCTTGAAAAAAAAAAGTACTACACTGATGTTCTTATTCTTTTCTTGTAGCTTCCTTAGTTTTCTGCTCTGTACCGACTCCGTTTGATGTGTATCTTTCTGAAAACTTAGTTTTAAGCTGTAGTGCCATACATCAGTGTTTCCCAAACTTGACAATTTTAAGGCATGTGGACTTCAACTCCCAGAATTCCACAGCCAGCATTGCTGGCTGTGGAATTCTGGGAGTTGAAGTCCACATGCCTTAAAATTGTCAAGTTTGGGAAACACTGCCATACATGAAGCAAACGTATTACTCCCTGAAATTCGGAAGGTACATTTCGATTAATGCCAACATATGTTGTTGCATTTGTCTTTTAAAAAGCTAAGTCTCACTGCTGACTCATATTCCAATTGTGATAATCTGCACTTCCAACACATTTTCCCACCAAGTTAAGTATCCCTCATCCTATACCTACCCATCTGAATCCCTCAGTGAAGGATCTGGCATTCTGGCAATTAATATTTATTCTGTTATTTTTAGCTTTAACTTAACAAGGTCATCTGAATTGTGTTTTGATCTTAGAGTATTAGCTACCCCATCAAATTTGTGTCATAACAATATTTGCAACTAATAAATATATTGTCCACCTCTTCTTTCAAATCACCGAGACACGACATTTAATAGTTTACTCTTAATGCAACAATGATGAGCCCTGTTTAAGTGTGGTTTTCACACCAACTATGGATCCATCAAGAGACATGCCATGAAGACCACACTTAACTAATATGAAAATTAACATGTTTTATTGTACTTCGTCAACTGGATCATATATGGAATCCTAGGAACATAGGAAGTAGCTATTGTACACTTAATCAGTTTCTGGACTGTTGTTGTTGTTAATTGCGAAGTCGTGTCCGACCCATCGCGACCCCATGGACAACGTTCCTCCAGGTCTTCCTGTCCTCTACCATCTTCTGGAGTCCATTTAAGTTCACACCTACTGCTTCAGTGACTCCATCCAGCCATCTCATTCTCTGTCGTCCCTTCTTCTATTGCCCTCAATCTTTCCCAGCATTAGGCCCTTCTCCAGTGAGTCCTTCCTTCTCATTAGGTGGCCAAAGTATTTGAGTTTCAACTTCAGGATCTGGCCTTCTAAAGAGCAGTCGGGGTTGATCTCTTCTAGGACTGACCGGTTTGAACGCCGTTTCTGGACTAGTACTAGACAAAAATTATTATGACCCTAGTATTGTTAAAACTAACTAGCAAAGGCAACTAGGTTCCTTTTAAGGGAACTTAAAAGAAAAGCTCTCCATTCCACTGGACCTGTGGGAGAATATAAAGCTTGCCAGAAAAAAAAATTAAAAAAAAAATTCAGTGTTCCAAACAAGCAAAGATCTGACTTATTTGCTTTGAGAGATTTATGTAAAAAGACATTTTCCCCAACTAAGTACTGCATATGCTGAACTTGTCATATCTACTCAATGTATGTGCTTTGATCTCTCATTCATGCACTGTACAGTATATGCTTGGCTTCCCTCTCTATCCAGTCTCCATGTTCAATCCCTCACTGTTCTGCCCCATGTTTGCCTTATCTCTACTACACTTCCCACGTGCCCTTGGTTTTTTCACCAACAATATGTGGGGTCATCCTCTTGGATGACTCTCAAAAGTCACATCGTTTTTGAGTTCTTGAAGGAAACATCAGCTCAGGAGGAACAAAAAACCCCTCAAGCTCTTGAAGACATGTATAAAATTGCTTTGCAGCGTTTGACGAACGTGATGCCTCCTTGTTGTTGTCTATAATTTCCAGACTAAAAAAGTTAAGTGGCAAAAGTTCCCACAAGAAAAGATATCCAGAGAGGCATCAGACCATTGGAGAAATGACTGTAGAATGAAAAACACAGCCCTTGAACACTTTCACAAAACAGATGCCCTTTACCTGTGGCCTTTCCTCTAAAATTCTCTCCTGAAATAAATATCTAACATAACTTCTCTTTCATCATATTGAATGAGAAGTAACAGGGGCAAAGAAGATTTTTTTAAAAAAAGAAAAAGGCATGGCATTACTTCTGAAAATACAAGTAAATAATATCTATGCTGTCAATCCAGTAACATTGCCTCCCATGCCTCACTTTTAATGAAACCCACAAAATATATATTTGCCATGCCTGCGTTTATTGAAACCCACAAAAATGTAGTTGCCGTGCTCTGTGTGAAGAGAACAATGGCACATGATAACCTGTTTGTAGTTAAGAAGAAACTTTTTTGGTTTTCACTTCAAACAGTAGTGGTGACTAAGAAACCGTAGAGCCACAGTGGTTAACTGCAGTATTGCAGGCAAACTTTGCCCGCAGTCTGAAGTTCGAGCCTGGCTGAAGGTTGACTCAGCCTTTCATCCTACCGAGATTGTAAAATGAGAACCCAGATTGTTGGAGGCAATATGTTGACTTAGTAAACTGCTTAGAGAAGGCTGTAAAGTACTATAAGCAGCATATAAGTCTTAAGTGCTATTGTTACTGTTATTGCTAAGGTATTGCCAAAATGATGGATTTGATACCTGGACATGGAAATCATCAGAAAGAATATTTTTCTGAAAACATTCTTTTAAATAATTTAGCTCTTTTTCCCCTTCGTTCCCCTCACAACGGTACAGCTACTTCTTTCTCAGTTGCAAGGTAAGCTGTTCAGAAACACTGGTTAATGTCATATCTTTTAAATTTAATTTATCAAAGCATTTAGACTAGCGGCCCCCAATCTTTTGGGCACCAGGAGCCGGTTCTGTGGAGAGAGGTTTTTCCGTGGACCAGATGGGGTGTGGCTTCGG